AACCAAATGACTAAATAGCTACTTTTTTGGCATGTCACATAAGAATTAAACTAATGGTCATTACTGAGCTTTATTGCGACACTTGAGTATCATTTAATTAGATAGAAAAACTATTCTTCTGGGTAGTGGTCATTTCTTTTATTTCAGTTTATTCGTCGGTTTGAGTTAATAATCCGATCTTGTGAGCGACTACCATTCAGCCACGTCGTATTATTGTATAGTATCTAAGTTAACAATACAAAATTCGTTCATCGAACTCCTGTTTCATGAAAGTCTTGAAATCACAAATAAATGAAATGACGCTTTCTACTGACAATCCTGTTCTCGCTCCTACTAAAAGTCTGACAATTTACATTATTATTTACCACGTCGTTTATTCACTCCCTTTTATTCCCGATTTGTGTATCCTTATTTTTCAACTTGTGCAGCAGCTCACCCATGGTGGGAACTCTGTCCTATCTAAACGATCTCCAGTCACTGTCTGGTCAAAAGTGAATGCTTCTACCGAATACGAATACTTAACCAGTTTTCTTGAAATCACGTACTGTGCGATAATGCCCAAGTCATGCGATCCGCACTTAATCAGTTGGCAATCAGTGTTCGCAGGTACGGCATGTGCTTTGCACCTTCAAAGTGCAAAGTACTTCTACAAGACTGGCAAGACTCTAATCCTGTACTTACCCTGGATGGTGAGCAGATTGAAGTAGTCAAGAAGTTTGTGTATCTGCATAAGTGCTGGCGTTGACGTGAGTGATGAGATCGATTCATGTATAGTGAAAGCCAGAATGGTTTATGCCAATCTGGGCTATCTTCGGCGCCTTCGTGATGTTAGTCTGGCTGTAAAAGTTCGGATCTACAACGCGTCAGTGAGAGCAGTTTTGCTCCATGCTTGTGAAACCTGGTCTCTCCGAGTTGAGGATATTAGACGACTCTCTGTGTTCGATCAACGTTGTCTCCAAAGGATTGCTGACATTCAGTGGCAACACCATGTTAGTAATGCAGAGGTTCGGCATCGTGTGTTCGGGCGCAGAGACGATAATTCAATTGGTGTCACCATCTTGGAACATCGAGTCTAGTGGCTTGGACATGTTCTACGAATGTCGTCCCAGAGACTTCCACGTCGTGCATTATTTGCCGACTCTGGGACTGGTTGGAAAAGGCGGAGAGGTGGTCGGTGTATGACACGGTGTCATGGTATGAAAGAAAGCTACAAAGGGCAGGCTTCTGTTGGTCCTTCATGACTCCCTGGCTGGGGTCCAAGAGATGGTGCAACAAAGTTGCTAGAGACGTTATCAGATATGGCTCAGAATATAAGTCAGTGATGATACTGCTGTAACCTTCTTTTACTTTCTTCATAAAGTGGTGGTCATTGTTTTGTGTATCGCATATATATCTGGCGCTCCCTTGTACCAATATTTGTGTTTAAATAAATAAATAAATATGTAATAAGGTTTATAAATGCCACTTTGAGGAAATTTAAGAGATCTTCTAAAAGGAATATTTTTCTCGATTAGACTAAGACTGACGTAGATAATCTAAGAGTTAATTGGCTGACTACTAGGGGTATAAATATTTAGTACAAAAAAATTAATTGAAAGATTGCTTATTGATTCTGAATGTGATTTCCCTTCAGTTTATTTTCGAATTTGTAGTGTGAACTTAGTTCATTTGATTTTCGATACAATACTGCATGATTAAATCTTGTGATTTTACTTTAAAGTGACAATTATTCAGTTGATAATTCCTGTAATTAATAATTACAGAATTGTGTCCCTATATGACCGAATGAACTTGAATATAATTTGACTTCTTTCAGGCCATTTGTTAAATAGATCTTTCTTGAATGATTACTTTTGGAGTAGGTGAGGCTTGAAGAGGAGAAAGTGGTTATATTTTAGTTCGAAGTGTCAGTAATGTAGTCGCTTTTACCGTAAACCATGTCATTGAGATCAACGCATACTTTATTGTATCTTTTCAGATGGTTGAATATGTCATACACCAACCTTAATATGATGATAAAGACTTTTAATTCAGTTTCATCTTAATACAGTGATCAGGATGGTTCAATTTCAAAACCTTTATTGACACTTTAGACTAAATTACTTACGCTTGTTACTCCCATTAAAGAATAGGCATGCATGCTGAATTGTATCGGAGAATCTTGTTATTCCCTTTGTGTATATTGAGACCTACTGTTGTTGAGGTTGCTGTTACACTGGTTGTCTTCTCCTGCATATGTCACGTCTGTGATAAGAGAGCCAGATCATCTGCGAGGTCTAGATCTTCCAGCTGCATCTTAGCTGTCCATTGTATCCCGTGCTTCCCTCCAGATGTTGACATCTTCATGATCCAGTCGATCACCAGGAAGGAGAGAGTAAGTAATCTTGCCTGACACTGGTCTTGACAATTTAGACTAGTTACAAGAAATGAGTTTTTAGAATTTATGTTACTAGACCACATTTAATCACTGCTCCCCTTGCCTTGATGAAGAAACTAACAGGTTAGACCGACTGTTTAATGGACTAGTCCCCTATCTTATGTAAGTCTCTCTAGCTTTCTTTCGAACATTGTTGCGTCACAAAATGGTTATTAGTTTGACCTGGTCACCTCAGAAGACGGACTATGCCCTCATCAATGGGATTCCTATTCAAATTACTAATCTAAAGGCCTATAGAAACGTACAACTTCACTTTAAAACCGGAAAACATAGTACTTAGTAAATCTGTCATTTTTTTCTCTTGATACTACTTAGACTAATCAACTTTCAGACCATGGGTGGTCGATTCTTAAAAACATTGAACTGTTAGAATTCTTGACAGGCGAAAAAAATAACATGAGGACACATACCCTCAGTCCTTATTCCCAACGTCTGTACATTGTATATACTACTTTAGAATAATATAAAAAATCTCGTTCCCAATTACTATATTTCGCTTTGTAGTGAGTATTTAAATCTCAATACAAACGTATACTTCAATATGGGGCCCGCAGCTGACTAGTATAACAGTAAGATCTACTTCACAAAACATTGCATTCACGGGTCAAAAACAGTAACAGAATAAATGTCTGCAGAATACAATATGAGACAGTCAGTCACAAGAAACGTAGAACCTAGCTCATGTGTGTTGGTCCAAGTTACACAACACTTGCAACAAGGCGAGGTAGGATTATCAAGGAAAATGGCACAGTATTAGTAGCAGTGATAGTAATATGAATGGTAGTAGAGACGATCAGATATAATTCAGAAAAATATTAATTTGTTGACAAAAAGAATCGCAAGATAATTTAGAATCTTGTGATTTAGGGAATGACAATGAGAGAATAAGTTTGTTCGATCACAACCAATTCGGAGGCGTCAACCATCTCCACAAATTGAATGCGGTAATCCCGCAAGCCCAAACCAGGTGTTCTGCAATCGGAAATATGGTTCAGATAAGCAGTTAACGAGCTCATAAACTGATGCCTCCTCTAGGGTTTTAGAACCTATTCACACGTCAGCTAAGATCGCCCGTCTAAATGGCCGCTGATCTGACACATAAAACATTTCCTAACTGAACCAGTTGCTGAAGATTAACTACCTTATTAACGAATTTATCATCTCTACTTATTACTCTGCATCTAACCTCAGGACTTCTTAATGGGTGGTCCAAAAATACGCAAGCAATGTTTCAAATACACTTTTGGTCAAATACTGGTGGCATATGAATATTTTCTATTTCTGAAGGGCATGCTTCACAGTCACAAAGTAAAATAGGATGGACTGTTAAGCAGTGTATTCGTCCTTTTGGTAGCCAGACAGACATCTCGCCCAGGATACAGGTTACCGAAAGCCAAGTGAACTTTCTGAATCCATAACAAGATTCTTTAAGACACCTGCCCACCAAGACTGACGAAACTTCTAAGACAAGTAAAATGCATTCAACTACTTTAATCCATATTATCGGTCTCGGTGATAATGCGAACCAGTTCCGAAGGAGCATCTCGGATTAAAAAGGAGTGAAACGCATCCTAGTTAAAGGCAATCAGAAGACTCTTTATAATGTAAGCGACTTCGAAAGGCGTAACTGTCACCTCCATATATTATAAATCGGAAAATGAATCTCCTGGTAGGAAAATAATCCCTGAAAACTTGAAAAATACATTACCTCTATATCTATGACGTCGGAAAATGAAAATGGAGAGCGGCCAGACTCGAAACGAAGAATTTTACGTATGACTAGAAATTCTAGAACATGAATCCTTAAACTGAAAATCTCATTTCTTTTAAATATACATTAAAGCTGCTGAAATAATCACAACTGGTAAAGTAGCTACAAGGAATTGAAGGACCAAGATCGCGAACTTCAAAAAACACCGATGGTTGGGATTATGTCACTAGCTTGAATTTACTGTGACTCAGATTTTATTTTAATGTTCATCACTAATGTAAGAAAACAGCTGTATAAAATATTAAAAGTAAATCACTTGACAGCTAGACAATAGCTTTTTTACATGATCGAGTTTTTACTGAGTAAATTCACTTTACACGGAAATTCTGAATATACGAAAAACACTTCAACACACTACATGCAGCATGTAGTTGAGTCCAAATATTCCCACCAGATATACTTAGATCAAGTCAAAACAGTGATCAGATATGGTTTTGATTTCTTGCACTCGTGAAAATATTTATGCAGCTATAACTACTAATCCGACTGTTTGTAGTACCTGTAATTAAGTTTATTAACCGAATTACGTCAAGCAGAGAAAAATGTAGTAAAGAAATAACATTTAAAATGTCCACAGATCAACTTTAGAGAAGAAAAGAACGTAAACGAAATAAATAAACAAGTGTAATGAATAAAATTAAAATGAAAATAGGTGTGTAAGCACAAACACATGAGTTTTTCTAATAAGTCAAAATTCATTTATCGTGATTTGACGTAGAAAAAACTATACTTTTAGAATATTTCTTTGCAATGTTTAGAATCAGTGTGTATATAATGAACAGTTAAATCAGATTAGCAAGAAGAGTGAGCATTCGATGGTGCACTATTGATTTGGGTATCATCCTTGTTAGTTGTTGTAAGTGTTGATATCACACTAGTTGTAGTACCAGTATTAGAAGTAGTAGTAGTATTAGCCGCAGTAGCAGAATTACTAGTATTGGTAGTAACAGCACTAGCTTCAGTTGTATTGACATTTCCGTTGATGTTGGAACAGTAATAAGGTGGAGGAGCGTAGGCATTTGCCGGAATTTTCAATATATCCTGAAAATTAGTAATGTATTTATCAGATGTATTAGAAGACAAACAAACGTCACAGAGAGACAGAAGTTGGATATGAATAATCTCAGTGATCTAATTGTATTTATTTAAGGTCCTATGATCTACAAAGTGCAGTGGACACACTGATGAAAACCCTCAAGTTGAAACGAGACATCTGCAAAATGCTTCGTTTATTCAGTTACTCATATAACAACGTATTTGCATCGGTTCAAAGTGATACACCATTTTAGCATAGCGAAATGCCAGAGTAGTATAAGTAATATTGTTGTGTATGGCACTCATGTCGACATAAGTAGTATATAACACTAATCAAAAGTGGAAGCACTCGCAGCACAAGTTTGGGGAGATTGAATTAAAGAGAACGGGAACAAAGAGTAATTGTTATGGCAATGAAAGAACGGTAAAGTTTGAGGCAATTGATGGAGGATTTGTAAATGAAGTATTGGACGTATGGTTAGTACACTTGATGAAAGAACTCTAATTTTGCATGGATACGATCGATGGTTTCCATCTGTATTCTCATTCACAACAATATTAGTATTAGTGGTAGTAGAAAAGATCAGACAGAAGAGATATGATTCCGGAAAATATGGATTTGTGGAATAAAATATTTAAGATAACTAAGAAAATTAGGATCTAAAGGAAAGTATCTTTCCCATAACTCATTTTTTCATCAAGTTGTCTACATATTAGTATAGCTGTGTGTATTTTTGTCTGTTTAATTTTATAAACGGTCGATTGCTTAAAGTACTTAAAACAGTAAAGCTGTGATATGATTTGATATAATGTTGGTAACTTACACCAACTAGATAGATGAATAAAGAATAAAACATAATTTATCTTGACTATCAATACAAATATCATTTCGTTTGAATATACACGCTCTGAATACATACTAGAAATAAAAAACAAATCCAGAAACGAAATTCAAGTGAAACTTCTATGATAAGGATCATCTAAATTATCCAAACGGTATTTACTACCAAACCAAGAAGCTATTGTGTATTGTTCTGAACCCCTTAATCGTGATCAAGGTGATAACCTTACCATATGTTACCAAAAACCAAGCGAAACGAGTCATAATAAATCTCAGTGGCGTACATACACTTGTTTCTTAATCTCCCTCTGAAACTTCATTTTTAGCATAACCCAGTCTTCATTCACAAGATCCATTTTTTCCAAACAAGATCTCTGCTTGATTCATTCGTATTGGTTGTTTGAATCTTCCCATAAATGTTAGGGACTGCAATCGATCAGTCATTCTTGACATAAGAGCATCCTGTGCGGATTGTCTCGACATTAAGTCACAAGCGAAATAAATAGACATGGCCCCCAAATGTCCTAGTACGGTCGAGAGTGGGGAGAGTTAGCTCCCCCTCTCGAAATGCTCTCACATGATCACGTGTATACAGTCACTGTTAGAGAAGTCTTACTCACTACCTTCTCGCGGCGAGGGTGTTGTTTACGAAATTAAGAGGACGAAAAATGAATGTCCGGTGCTTTAAACGGGTCAATGGATATGGAGGATCTGCTTAAGGGAGTTGAAAAATCCTGATTCCAAACCAATGATGAACATGGGCTACAGGATCCTAAGGGAACGAAAGGCGTATGAACCTATTGTGGATCACCGGCTACCATGGAACTGCATTTTCTAACGTTGCTCCACTGCCTTATGGATTAGACCTTTAGGTCAAAGGCTCGGGTTGTGGCCCCCTAAGAAAACCACCTGCTTCGGCGCATATCTATTTGGTGCCTCCTTGTACCAATGTTTATGTGTTCAAATAAATAAATAAGCAGACATGAATGATGTTCACTCAGTAGCTAAGTGGATAATGCGATGGAGTTTGAAGCGAATGGTACTTGGTTTGAGTCCCGAAATGAGAATCAACTCGGATACAGGCACATTCAGCTTAGGAATACCAAATAGCACGAAACGCGCGTCACGGATGACATTGCTAGTTACTATCCATCTCTGCCCATAATCTCGGTTTTCTTCATTACAATAAACGCAAACATTGCTTCCACTCCTTCACTGTTCGGCTTGCCGAATTCATCCCGACACGATGAAACAGTATGAGAGCATGGTCCGATGTATATCTGTTTGTCATACGTTGTTTACAACCAGGATGAGTGCGTATTTTAAACCAAACCATGAAAAGCTACGAAGTTCATGACTTTCCACGCCTTAGTAAACTTCGATTTAGTATTTCAATTGCTAAACTTTTGAAGGACCGTCTTGTCAGTTGGGGCGATGACTGATATTCTTGAAATAAATTTCTACGAAATATCATAACGCTAAACATGAGTAAAAGTCACAACACGAATGATAACACTAGTTACTACTTACCTCATACTTCGGTAGATCGTTAGCTGGATCGTACGTAATTGGCTCAGGACGAGGTCTCGTGTTAGGCTCATTAGGAGAACCAGAGTTCCCAATCGAATTGTTGCCTCGATTGCGACCAGCCCGAAGTAAACTCCAAAAAGTAGACAAATGACCCCACTGGTCGGAATACCAATCATCAAGTAGGTTGCCTCTTCGATTTAGCATTAAGTATTTATAACAGTCCCATACCATACCAAGACAATAGGCTTTGAAAGCCAACATCATGCATGAGATGGACAATATGATAAAAGTGAAACCTGTAGATTTGATGTAAATAGGCCCCGTCTAAAAATAAAAAAACATCTCACATTACTTCCAAAAGAGAGATTATTACTTAAGAAAAAAAGAACAAACACAACAGAGCAAGATACATTCAGTTATTTTGTAATTTTTCTTCAGCTCCTTACAAAACCAGAAACAACGGTAATAATTATTAAACACTATAGTACATAATTTATAAAGTAATAATGAGTATGAGTAGAATAACGATTACATGTATGGACAAATCATAAAGTGGTAAAGTCTGTGGACATTTATATTGCCGTGAAAATCCTTGAAGGTTACATGATCGTAAAGCATAAAAAAATACTCCAGGGATTATATGACATAAAACAACTATATATGTTAGTACCTAAACACCTTTATATATATATATATATATATATATATATATATATATATATAAGAACTGAGAGACGGTTCAGATTTGTAGCTCAGGCAGATGATTTTGGTGTTTTGTTTTCTGGGCTGGATGGTTTGGTCGTGGATCATCTGAACAGACTTCAAGTAGAAGAAAATTATTCGAATTTCTCCACATATCACTCACAGCTTGTCCTGTAGACGTCCATATTCATTGCTTATTGTTGACCTTTAACCTGTCATTGTTTTCTTCTTTACTTCCATTGTATCTACCATTGATTTGATTCTTGGTCCTATATTTGTGTTACGACTGCCGGTTGTGAACACTATATTTGCTTCCCTAAGCTAGTTCCGTATCCCCGAGCCAGAACTATACAGCAACTTGAAGACCAGAGAAAATGCACAAAGTATGAGGGAAGCGCTTTACTACAGGATTCATTTATGTACAGAAAATACAGGGGTTTTATAGTAATTAAGATACCTTGAGTTTCCATAGTAGCAGTGTGTTAAACAGCCAATCAGAATCTCGTTATTTTAGTAGCATAGCTTCTAACTAATCGCTGATTGGTTGGGGCTCTTTATGAGCCTCTGATGGAGTTTACTGTAAGCCGACTTAACAATTTGTACACGATCTTCCTGATTGGTTGGTAGATTGGACCGTTTTTAATGTGTTTGTTTATTGCCAATTGACTTGAATGGCAAGCTTCTAGAATTTCTCTATTGTTAGTATCCCCTCTATCCAAAATCTCAACACTTTCCCAGTCAAATTTGTGTCTACGGTTGCCCACATGCATTGATATAAGCGAAGATATGTCATGGCCTTTCACCGTTATTCGATGTTCGTACAAGTGAAGATGAAGGAGGTGTCCACTTTGTCCGATATAGTGTTTTTCGAAGTTAGAACAATTTATTTTGTAGACGATGTTCGGTTTTCTTCTTTTGTCATTTCACCCTTCGGTTTGCATAAGATTGATTGAGGTGATTTTGGTATATAATTCCCATTTAAACATTAAAATTCATTCTAATCATCTTATTGTAATCTTGGTTATTAGTGTTCACATTTCCTCACGGAATTGGTGCTTTAATAAAACATTTTCATATATATACGACTGTACAGCTTGATAATAAATTCGTTGAAAAGAGATTCCTTCGCTGAACTCCGTGTTTTAAATTTGAGGTGATTTTGTTGGTTTATGTGCTACACCTATTCCAAAAGGCTTCCACAATCTCGTCGTGATTTTCGATGTCTTTTAGATATGCTAGGATGATCTGTTTGTTGCTTTCTGTACACGATCTCGTTTCTGTTGATGCGTTTGGTTGATATTTTTTGAAATTGATTGGATCGCCGTTCTTTTGAAAGATAGTCCTTAGATATCTTTATTTATTCTTCTGCGCTGCAAGGGTGTTGTAGTGTATGCTCACCCTCTTGAATAAAGTTTCTACGCGGTTGATTCTGTGAGTTCTTGGGTTGTCGCTACTCTAATTGAGAATTTGATTTGTATGGGTAGGCTTCCGAAATACTTGAGTCTCCAGTTTCCCTGTGTCCAAGTGGTGGTTTGTTGTTTGGCTCCTATTCCATTGAGTTTTCGAGGAGTATTACGATTGAAAGTAGTGGGATGTTTGGTCTGTGTATTTTTGGCCTACCGTAAAATTGAGAGGATAATGGTCTATTGGATTTCATTTTCAGTTGATCCTGCTTTGATATTTTTCCTGTTTAGATAAGCTTGTTTAAAGATTCGGTTGTCTAACTTTTTGACTGAATTCGTCTATTAGTTCGGACACTTCATTTGTACCTGAAGTTTGAGCCGATGATGTTGTTCAGAAGAACGATGGAAGCTCCGCAACCAAACCATCTAACTCAGAAAACAAGTTGATACATCACCTAAAACCTACGATTATTTTCCTGAAAAGCAATAAATACTTACATGTTTCACTCAATATAAAATTAAGTCAGTCTTTAAAACAGTATTTTAGAGTACAATATATGATGGATTCAAAGTTCGAAAGATAGATTTTTGTTATTAAAGCTCGTACTTTGTTTGATGAATGAACTGGTCAGTCATTGCCACATAACCTCAATGTACAGAAGTCTCTAGTACTATGTTCGCTTGACGAGAGGTTACTGTCGACAACATAAACTATAAGTAACCTTCTGGATTTTGAAGTGATGCTTATAGTGTTTGTTAAAGTAGGAACACTAACTGAAGTGGTTTACTCAACTAACATATAACAAACAATAAGTGATTTTTAAACATCAATGATTGCTGACACCAGCATCAAATCATCTTGTAATTATTAGCTAAATGATTAACCACATACATCTTAAGTATTAAAAATAAACGTTATTACATCATGCAAATGAACATACTTTTGTGTGAATCATCAAGCGTAGATCTGATGTGGAGGACATGAATCCGAGTATGTGAATTAAACATATGATAAGATCAAATACTTGAATAAAGAAAAACGGGAGTAAGTGGGTTGGCTGTTTTGTGATTGCTCCATGGACCATGAAGCAGCAAAACGCCAAAGAGAAAGTTGTCACACAAACAGCAATGTAAGGACTGAAATGCTTTATTTTAACTTCATGGGATCCACGTTCATTTTTCTGAGTATAAGACACTAGGCTTGGAGACATATTATTGATGTCGACAAGTACATCGTCTTTATACCCTGGTGAAATATCATAATTAAAATTGGTTTCGGACTCCACATTATGACCGAGATATAATTTATTTCCATTGACATTTCGGGTCCCAGGAGAAGGCAATGTTAGTGACTCATGAATATCGGAGACAGCTGGTACAAGACGAAAGAGAGTCGAGAAAACATAAAAACCTAGGGTAGAAAGAAAAACAGACCAATATTTCATAAGACCTATTAAATCTAAAATATATTATATAAAAATTTAGTATATTAATGTCCCACGTTGATTATGTCACCTAAGCAATTGTGAAAGAATGCTTTCAATAATATCATTGATAAACTGGTCTCGATATAACTAACCTGGATGTTTCTTTTTTCAAAAACATGCTAAAATACAACACAGTGAACACCAATCAAATCACACCTGATGGAGAAGCTATAGAGTAAGTGGAGACTTTTAAGTTCCTAGGTAGCATTATTGATAAACAAGGAAGATCTGATGCAGAATTGGAAGCACGGATTGTCAAATCAAGAGAAGCATTCCTACAACTGTTATTGTATGAACACATATTGGTATAAGAGGGCAACAAATACATTAGCCCCCAAATGCCCTGGTACGGCCGAGAGTGGGGAGAGTCTGCTCTCCCCCTCGAAATGCTCTCACATGGCCAGCGAATATATAGCCTCTGACAGGGAAGTCCTACTCACTGCATTCTCGTGGCATTACTGTTGTTTACGAAAGTGAGAGGACGAAAAGCGAATGTCCAGCGCTTTAACCGGGTCGGTGGACACGGGGGGTCCACCTAGGGGAGTTGGAAAACCCCTATTCCAAACCAATGGTGCACATGGGCTCCAGTATCCTGATGGAAAGAATGGCGAATGAACCTGCTGTTGGTCACCGGCTACCATGAGACTGCATCTCCTCACGATGCTCCACTGCCTTATGGATCAGACCTTTAGGTAAAGGCTCGGGGTGTGGCCCCCAAAGAAAACCACCTGCTTCGGTTTGGGCACCCGGGCAGTATCACAGCCCACACACAAATGACATGAAATAACGAACTACACTAACTACACTGCTCTCGTTCCTAATAGAAGAAAGACAATTTACATTATTATTATTACTATTATTTACTACGTCGCTTTTTCACTCCCTTTATTCCCAAATTGTGTATCCTTCCTTTCCAACTTATGCAGTAGCTCGCCCATGGTGGAAACTCTGTCTTATCTAAACGATCTCCAGTCACTGTCTAGTTGAAAGTGAATGCTTCCACCAATTACGAATACTGAAGCAGTCTTTCTGAAACCACGTATGCCGTTCAAGCTGGCTTCCTTCAACGTTCGCACACTAATGCAGATCGGACAACAGATGGGACTGGCTATGTCTTTAGAAAGTCTTAATGTTGATGTTTGCTGTCTATCCGAGACCCGTATTCAAGACTCTAGTGAAGTACTACAAATCCGCTCTCCATCTGTCGCTTCGAAAAGCTTGTTTCACGTGCGCTTATCCGGGGACTCTGTGGCATCTTTGTCTGGTCTTGCAGGCGTTGGTGTTGCACTAAGCGCTAGGGCTGAGGCAGCACTAATCGAATGGATCCCCATTAACAGTCGGTTATGTGCTGTTAGATTAGAAAGTTCCATCAAAGTGAGAAGAAATCAGCGTGAGAAACGGTGTCTTTTCGTCATCTCCGCCTATGCCCCGACAGATTGCAGCCCGGATGCAATCAAGGATGAGTTTTACCACCAGTTAACAGTTCTTCTCCAGAAAGCGCGTTCGACAGATATTGTAGTATTAGCCGGAGACTTGAATGCTCAGGTCGGGCGTCTAGGCACAGAAGAGAGTCGTTTAGGTGGCCGATGGGGACTTGTTGGTCACAGGACAGGAATGAGTCAATAGTCGTCCCTATCTTTAAAAAGGGTTCACGTTGTTCCTGCAATAACTACCGGGGGATAAGTCTACTTCCGATTGCGTCCAAACTATTGGCTCTTGTCATTCTTCGTAGGTTGTTTAAAACCCGAAAACGATTGACTCGCGAGGAGCAGGCTGGTTTTCGTTCTGGTCGAGGATGCATTGATCACATTTTCACCCTCCGCCAAATGTTAGAACACCGTCATACTTATCACAAGCCAACAATCATAGTGTTTCTTGATATCAGGGCGGCCTTCGATTCGTTGGACAGCACTGTTCTCTGGGATTGTCTATTGAGGGTGTGCCTGAGAAGTTCATCAACATCTTAAAGGCCCTGTATACGAACACCTCAGGCAGAGTGAGGGCATACAACCACCTTTCTCCCTTGTTCCATTCGAGCAGTGGGGTTAGGCAGGGTTGCCCGATCTCCCCATTCCTCTTCAACTTTGCCATCGACGACATCCTAGAAACAGCTCTGGTGGATGTAAGTAATGGCGGTGTGAATATGTTGCCTGGAGAACGACTTCTCGACCTCGAGTATGCGGATGATATTGTCTTACTGTGCGATAATGCCCAAGGCATGCAATCCGCACTTAATCAGTTGGCAATCAGTGTCCGCAGGTACGGCATGTGCTTTACACCCTTCAAGTGCAAAGTACTCCTACAAGACTGACAGGATTCTCATCCTGTACTCACCCTGGATGGTGAGCAGATTGAAGTAGTTGAAAAGTTCGTGTATCTAGGTAGCTACATAAGTGCTGGTGGTGGTGTGAGTGATGAGATTGATGCACGTATAAGGAAAGTCAGAGCGGCTTATGCCAATCTAGGCCATCTTTGGCGCCTTCGTGATGTTAGTCTGGCTGTAAAAGTTCGGATCTACAACGCGTCAGTGAGAGCAGTTTCGCTCTATGCTTGTGAAACCTAACCTCTCAGAGTTGAGGATGTTAGACATCTTTCTGTGTTCGATCATCGTTGTCTCCGAAGGATTGCTGACATTCAATGGTAACACCATGTTAGTAATGCAGAGGTTCGGCATCGTGTGTTCGGGCGCAGAGACGATAATTCAATTGGTGTCACCATCTGGAAACACCGACTTCGGTGGCTTGGACATGTTTTACGAATGTCGTCCCAGAGACTTCCACGTCGTGCATTATTTGCCGACTCTGGGACTGATTGGAAAAGGCGGAGAGGAGGTCAGTGTATGACGTGGTGTCGTGGCACGAAAGAAAGCTGCAAAGGGCTAGCTTCTGTTGGACCTTCACGACTCCCTGGCTGGGGTCCGAGAGATGGTGCAACACAGTGGCTAGAGACGTTATCAGATATGGCTCAGAATAGAAGCCCGTGGCGGTCCTGCTGCAACCTTCTTTTACTTTCTACATAAAGAGTGGTTCTAACTTTCTTAACTGAAAGAGTCTTCTGGTTATACATTTCAGTCCGCCTTATCTTTTCATCCCTTCTCTTCCGACTTTCTTATTTTGTGTGGCGCATATGTATCTGGTGCCCTTTTGTACCAATATAAATGTGTTTAAATAAATAAACGTGAAGAGACAGAGAAGGTAAAGTGTGTATGATAAAAGAGGAACAACAATGAACAGAAATTAGTGTATAAGAATGTAATAATAATAATAACATATAATAATAATAATTAATAATAATAATAATGGGAGAAACAGTTCACTTAGGAAAAATACAACCAGAAGGAATTCTTTCAGTCAGCGAAGTTCACTTTTATAAGAAAAGTACAAGAAAGTTACAGCATGATCATCACTGGCTTCCATTCTGACCCATGGCTGATAACGCCTTTAGACACTGTGTTGTGCCATCTCTAGGAGTCGTGAAGGACCAACAGAAGCCAACATTTACGTAGCTACCCAGATACACGAACTTCCCGACTACTTCTATTCGTCCACTACCCAGAGTGAGTGCAGATTCAGGGTCCTTCTAGTCTTGTAAAAGTACTTTGCACTTCGAAGGTGCGAAGCTCATACCGTACCTGCGGACACTGATTGTCAACTGATTAAGTGCGGATTGCATGGCTTGGGCATACTCGAGGTTGAGAATTCCTTCTTCAGGCAACAGACCCACACCGCCATTACTTACATTCATCAGAGCTGTTTCCAGAATGTCATCGATGGCAAAGTTGAAGAGGAATGATGAGATTGGGCAACCCTGCATAATCCCACGGGTTTGAATGTAACAATGGAGAGAGGCGGTTATATGCCTACACTCTGAATGAGGTGGTTGTATGCAGGGTTTTCTTAAGAACACATTTCAATGGACAGTCCTGTCCAATGAATCGAAGGCAACCCAAGTATCAACAAAACACTACGATTGTTGGCCTGTGGTAATTATTATAGTTTTCTAACATTTGATGGAGAATGAATATATGATATGAACGGAAACCAACTTGCTCCTTGAGAGTCAAACTATCTCGGACTTTGAACAATCTAAGAGGTATGACGGAGGCTCATAGTTTGGACGCAATCGGAAGTAGACTTATCCTCCGACAGTTGTTACAGAAGCGACGTGAACCCTTTTTAAAGATAGGGACAGCTGTCAACTCATTCCACAATGTCGGAACACTTTCTAATTGTCAGACCTTCGGAAACAACTCAGTCAGAGCCTTTACTAGGTCGTCACCATCTTGAAAAAAGGCCGGAGGTAAGTCATTCGGGCCTGATGATTCGTTGCGCTTAGGGAATTGGAATCCCTTGTAGACTTTCGCCTTGTTAGTTGGATCAGTCGTCACCAGCCATGGAAAGTAAGAGTTTTATCGACGTCGCTGAGGCATCAGGCTCGTTGAACTGATTCTCGAAAAACTCTACTCATCGTCCAAGACGTCGGTAGATATTATTGGTTGGCATCCCGTCAGCCATACAAGACTTTGCTGTCAGTGACTCGAATAAATTAAAAGAGCTTCCGGAAGCACCAACTCAATATACTACATCTTTCCAAGAATTTCACAGAAGACTGTACTTTTTTTGTCATTGCACACATGTGAGAAATCAATATTTCGATAATTCAAGTGTTTTTAATTCAGCTACATAGTTCCTGGCAAATGTTATAAGAACTTTATACAATAGAAAGGATTTCAATGTTTTAATTGACATCCTAATCTATGCAGTTCCAAGATTCTTTGAAGCTTTTTGACAAAAAGCGGTTAACCTACGATATACGGATAAGTGCATCAGAATCGAGAGATTGATATCACATATAAACACCCCAATAGAAGTGTTCCTGTACATCGAGCGAAACGTTAAATTATTAGGAAAAACTTTTGTAAAGGAATAATGCTGAGGGTGTCAAATGCTTACTTCTTCACAGTAGACTGTAAGCCAAACGTGAATCAATGATGTCTGATTTCAATCTATTCTATTCAAAATTAATCAAAACAAACCACTTTGCCAATGAATTGAGGGACAGACAGCAAGTAAATGGCTCACGAATGCGAAAAAAGACAACACGTCTCTCATAATGATTTTGGTGCAATTTTTACTTAGTTTACGAAATTTTGATAGATTTAGTAAAGGGCAAAATTTGAATAAACTATCTGTCAAAATGACAGAGAGAACTTGAGTGTGAATATTTTCTCATTTATTGAATTGACGTTAAGACATTTTCAAAAAATTAAGATAAGTGACAGTAAGTCATGACATACTGGTGTGTATAAAAACAAACCACTATAACCTCAAATAAATACTTTATTCTTGAAACGATTCGAATCTACGTATACTTTGTGCACTGTTAAAGCTCAAACTTAAATTGTGATAATAACGGAGAACCAAGCCTACGGTCATACTAGGAACAGGGACAGGGTGAGTGAGAGAGTGAAGTTTCCCGATATAATGCGTTAGAGAATGAAAGAAATCGCAAAAACTGTGAGACGGTGTAAAAAAATCATCTTGAAATTAACACAATTACATGTAGAAACCATCATACAAACTGCGAGCAAACACAATACCACAATCATCAACGCACTGTATGTGAGTTAAGCAGATCAATTACCAAAAGCTTGGTGAAAAACGGGAAAAACTTCAGGAACAAGAGGTAATAAAACTTACGAATCTTGTCCTCTGATGGGTCTATATTTCCATGATTATCCTCTGGAATAAGTCTCGGATTGAACGTCATCAGGAATAAAAAGGATATAAAAACAAGTTGGATAATTATTTGAGTTATCCCGAAAATTATCGTCCCTGTCCTCACATGTAAGCAAAGGCAGCACGTAAACTGATGTCTCGGATTGTTTGTCAATAGAGCGGGAGCTCTTGGCATTTTTTTTGAAGTAACAACTATTCAACAACGACAGTTAACGAGACTATATAGGAGGAATACAGCAAATACAATACTCAAATTAGCCGCTGGAGATTTACATATGAAACCCATTTTTAATGTAACTAAACAAGTGAGTTTGAAAAACAAGAAAGCGCTACGGAAAACTTCTTGAAAAGACATTGTATTGATTAAAGACGAACAAGCGGTAGATCACCTGATTCCATATAACGGTGTATCAATAAAGTGACTAAATGGTTTTCTAGTTATTTCTTTGTAACGACTACAATTTCCATATCTATGTAACGAACTTTAGCATACCAGTTGACATATTCGCTCGCGCTACATGTTAAATCTTCAGGGTTCAAAGACTTTGATAAGTACCTTGACTGATTTATCGTATTGTGTAAATATAAACACTCAAATTCGTTTCGTTGTCAGTTCACTACATAATTATACTTACAAGTAATAATGACTGGAACGCATTCACAGTAAAATGGTCAAGGCAACGCTACATAAGTCTTTTAATAGACGCTAAAAATATCTAAAATCAACTTGAATAGAATGAATTTATACAGGTGAAGATCATTTAGAATAAGGATTGTTGTTTCGACCGACTGAATCTACAAATACTTGCTTTCTTGAGTTCCTAGTCATAAAACATGCATTTATTTTGGTGAGAATTGTTAATTTGAACAGACAGTAAGCTCAAATGTTTACGATATAAATCATTTAAAATCACAAGCATTAAAGGACGATTTCGAGAGTTGTTTTTTTTAGATGCTATTAAGAATGCGATAACAAAATGCAAGAAAACATTAGAATTCTGACATGTAATAATTTAAAAGGTATCATTGTTTATTTTTATGTAAAATGGCATACAATACCCAAAAAATCATTTTCTAAGCTTTTGGTATTGATACTCAACATATTACTAGAAATGGATGTTGTTTAAACCATATAACATCTCACTTCATGGTGCAAAAGACTTCTTAACATATCTAGGCAGTTCAGAAGTCCTGTTACAATGACAGCCTTCGACACATTTACTGCGAATTTCTTATTTACACACTGCAATTTCCTACCATGCTATGGGGAAATCAATATTTTCATGGTAATGTCTATCAATTCCATCTCGAAATTTCATGATGATTTCAAGCATACTCTCACAATTATTTCACCGGTGAGACTTTTTTTACAAAACCTAAAAGTGTGCCGGAATCGTCATGACCTACTTGATAGTGCCTGCCAATCAAACACCGCTAATCAACTTATCACCAGAGTATATGAAATCAAAAGTCAAATATTATTAGTGAAGCAGCACTACACAGGGATGTAAAGAATGCTATGGTGAATTAACAGCGTTTAGTTCAAAACGGAAAGGAAGTTGGAGTACATTAAATATTCAATTACATTGCATAACTGATTTACAACCCATCCAAACATAACTGTGCATTTGGTTGAAGCCACAAACTAACCAAGTAAAAGGCCTGCGATTCTTCTAAGGCTTTAGATGTTCGTGTGGAAACAATTAAATGGTTTGGAGAGAATAAAATAGTCAAGAACGAAGAGAAATCCGATTCGACAGAGTCCGACAACATTTTTCTTAGAATATCCTATAGAATAAACGAAAATATTTTGAATAAATTAGTCGGAACGCGTATTTAAACTATATGCATATGTATAACAGCTTTTAATATCTCAGCTGATTACTTATCTAGGGATATTTGCCAAGTACTTTCAGAAAATGGTGTTTAGCATGACAAAAGCGGTTACCCCAAACGTGAAGTGCTTACAAGTTAGTTATTTTAGATTAATGTATGCCACTGAGAGCTTTCAATTCCTTACATCTGCAGAGCCAGCAAAATATATTTGACTCGTAACCAAATTATTCATCAGGCAAATCACTGAATGTCAAACGGTTTACCGATACTCAGCAAATTCAAAGACGGCAGACTCGCGCTGATCATTAGTGTGTATTCAGCAGGAGAATGAGGCACCGGTTATGTTTTGTACTTGTATTTCGTACAACTGGAGTAAGCTCGCATAACTTATCAGATATATCTTCGAACCTCTTCGTTTCTGTCGTTTGATTTTACTTAGTGGGCATGATTCATAATAGGCGTTACTTGTTAAAACGTTTCCAAACTCCAAATACCCGCGGCATCTTCATTGATGAGCCTAACATGATCTGGTACATCAACATACAAAGTGAGAATCCGTTCCTTTTAGAAATTTCATAAATCGTTGCTTTATTTTGATTTTTATATGCTGTGATATTTTTTCCGGTTTTCGGATACTTTTTTCCTCGTTCATTCTCGTACTTGATATTTCGCGATGACGGAACAAACACGCAGAAGCGGACTTCTGCGAGCACGGCGCGAAGGACACACGTGCACAATTCTTCGCAATAGACAGGGCACTGCCGCACGAATCGAACAGGTACGTAACACGTAGCATGTTTACTAGCGATGTTTCGGAAGCTTACGAAACACTTAAACGATCTATCCTCAAACGCGGAGACCAAACCTATCGACAAAGGTTAGACAAACTCCTTAGTAATATCGAACTGCAACATGTTTCGGCGAGAGATACGTTGCTAAGAATGGGAGAGGTTGTCAGTCAAAGAACGTTCGGCGATGGCTTATTCAGACAACTATTCTTATCCAGATTACCTCAGCAGGTGCTAGATGTGCTGGTCTCGTTTCGGAACAAAGCCGTAGACGAGCTGGCTGCATCTGCTGACCGCATCCTAGAAACTGCGAAATCTTCTGATGCCGAGGTTTTTCCAGTCAAACAAAAACCTTAAACGACCCAAAATAACATTACGGAATTATGCCATTAACTTGCACGTTACCTTAGATTTCGTAATGGCAGTAAACGGTTACATAATCCGCGAAGAAACACTTCATGTGGGTGAAGTGTCGCCAGACCACGAGAGACGGATAACCCTGACTGGTGCTGATATCATAACTAGTGTAAAATCCAAACTGAGTTTTGGCTGAAGAATAACTATCTCGGTAGTTTAGATACACCTAATTCCCTTTTTTAAATCAGAACAAAGTGATTGGGGAAATAACGGTTCTAAACAAATATTACCACTCAGTAATTCAACCAATAATTGTTCACACGATAATCGATCGAGCCAAAAGATAAGTTCTATTCTACCATTTCTGGATAGATCAAGTAAAAATCCGTTCAAAAGATAATAGTTTGTTGCTTTATAACACAAAGTGTTTCAGATTCTGGAAAAGTGCTTCAATTCACAATGAAAATGCACAATCTCAGTAAACTCAAGCAACACAATCAAAGGGGGAACAAATCAACATGGCTGCAATCAAGACTAAATATCAACCAAAACAACATAACTACAGGTCAGCAAAAAACATAGAAACAGAGTGAAGTCAAACAAAAATGGGAAAACTATAATGAAATAAAATATGACGATCTTAAACGGCATCATAAAGACTAAAAAAGTGTTCAATTAAAGAAACCAATAAGAACAAGTTGCAGATGTATGGATGGAGGGATTTTCGCACACAAAACCTTCAAAATGGATCTTACACCGGCCCGCAAATTCCCTCCATACCAAACGAGCCACTTCTATGCCTTTGGTCATGGTTCATTCCATAGCATATCACACATTAGAGGAACGAGTAGGACTTACAGCGGTACACCTACCCGACCTGCCTATTTTGATACAACTAATTGGAACCCTAAAGAAGATATACCCTGCCTGTATCCCTTTTAACTAATCCGTTATTGGTACGAACAGTTACTGTTCTAACCTAGCATTCAACTGCTTCTGAACAATTTCGTTCCTTAAATCGTGAGAAAGCTCGTCAGCACGTTTGCAAGCTAGCAACAACTCAGCACACCGGTCGCTGGCAGCTTCGGCACAAAAGTTAGCTGAAGAATTCCATTGTCCCCGTTTGTTCTTAAAGATTCCTTCCATCTGTATTTTACACTCTTGTAATTCAGAAGCGGTTTGGTCTCGAATTGATCTGAGCTTCTCTGTTAATCGACTTTCCTATTCAGCTCCTTCGCATCCTTCGACCGCCTTTTTGATGTACAAACCGCGTTCAGCTAACTTTTCACATTCATCGAACGATGGAAACTGGAAATCTAACTGCTCTTTAAGACTAAGGATTTCGCTTTCCAAATCAGTTCACGGTAGTGCATCAGCCTCAAAATCTCGTTTCGTTTCTTTAGACCGTTTTTCTAAAGCATGGTAGTCACTAAAGCGAGTCTGGTAAGCATTATGATCTAGTTTTTACTTACTAAGTTCCATCTCAAGAATCTCCACCTTTCTCTGCAAATAACGATTCTATTGACCTCGTTTGTTAGCCCCCATTTTTATGCCATTCAACTCACTTCTTCTATGCCTGGAATCTAGCTCGGTCGTAATGTCAAGTCCCTGGTAAATCATATCTACAAACTCACCTGATCCCTGGAATTGTATACAATCATCATCTCGATTTTCTGGTGAAACCACTGATATCTAGAATCTTCAGTATAGACTTTCCAACAATATCCTCTCCAACGAAATAATGTTGGGTTCTTATGTCTCAATATTATAACCAATTTGACGTACCTAATTTGCATAATCTTATATCTCACACTTCGGTTACTATATGTGATTATTTGGGGATAAATACTGACATATAACGTGGGTCATTGCATCATGTGACTTCGACGAACATTAAAAATATTATACATATTACTTTTGCTTTCCATATATACACAGATAAATATGCATTGATATGTGTGATTAACACATGTGATTCATCTAGGCTTGATTCACCTGCGAAACAATCGAATGGCAAGCATGCATCTGCCTGAAACTCATTAAGATAATCTTGGACTTGATTTGGATTTTCTACCAGTACAAACTGGTTCTCTGATTGCTTCGGGAAAACTTGCTGTTCTCTCTGATTCAACATACCACTGACTAGGGATTCTACACGACACACATTGATTTGAACAATATCCAACATCCGATA